TTTGGAAACATTATGGGGCACCTTAAAAAACTAAACATAGATCTGCCATATGATCCAACAATACCAACTCCTAGTGAATATACTGAAGGAATTGTGACTCAAGTTACTATAAAAGCACCTGATTCCCATGTTTATTGTAGTACCATTTACAATAGCCAAAGTTATGGAAAACAGCCAAGATGGCCCTACAACAGATGAAAGGATCAAGAAAATGTGATATTTATACACAATTGAATTTTACTTAGCCACAAGGGAGAATGAAATTTTGTCATTCTCAAGTAAATGGATGGACTGGAGAACATCATTTATGCGAAGTTAGCTAGGCTCAGAAGCCTAAAAATAGCATGTTCTCCCTCATAGGCTATTATAGGCAAAAACAAATGCTGTAACATTATTGGACATGGATCACACACTAAGGGGAGAACACACACAGGAGAAATAGAAGGAAAGAAACCTAAAACTTGAATGTGGTTAATGTGCTCACTGTATTGTAGCAAATAAAGTAATCTTAAATTGGCAGAGGCTGCTATGAGAAGGGACAGGAAGTAGCAAAGAGGTCTGGTAGAAATTAACCAATGTGGGTTGCAATATGCATGTACAGGAAGGAATACTAGGAATCTCTCTGTATAGTTATCTTTATCCCATACTAGCAAAAACGATATGTCTTTCTTATTATCTCTTATGTTTTCTCTTCAACAAAATCAGAGAAGAGGGTGGAACAGGTTTGCCTGAGAGTGGGGTTGTGGGTGGAGGGGAGGTGGCACAAACAATGTAAGTAAATGTAAAAATGATAAAATAAAAGGAGAGAGATAGAGGGAAAAAAGAACTTAACTTATATCCTCCACCAGATGGCTCTGTCAGTATAATAAGAAAAATGGGAATACCTCAGAACCTGCATGGTTTCTTAGTCTCTAATCTATCACCTCAAGAAAACAGCCTTCAGAAAACCAAACCACTTTATTCTCAGTCACAGAATGGAGCAGACAATATCACATAGCTAATGGCCTGAAGAAATGGACAGATGGGTTCAACTGTTTTCAGCAAAGCCTTCCAAAACTGAGTTACTGAAGTGGAAGCCCTAAGGTCGTCAGTCAGCGGTAAAGTGATATGGGAGTGAATGTATCCCTTTATTCAGAATGTATCTCTTTATTCAGAATTTATTAGAATCTACCTAAATACATGTATTTAGATACCTCCCCTGAAAACTATAAACACTTACTTTCCTCAAATGGAAACACAAACACTTATTAGGACAATCTGTATTATGTATACACTGGAGATGTAGTTTGAAGTGGCCTCTTTTTAACGTATGTCTTGTTTTTTAAAACTGTGTAGTGCCTGGGGAGAACATTTATAGAACAGAAAAACCAATGGTCTCTTGGGAAGTGGTGTTTGAGAATTTCAAATCCTGCTGAGACCTCATCAAGCACCTTTACATGTTTTCATTCGGGACCCAGAGAGCATGAAAAATGCCATAGCTCAAGATTGATTGATTTTATATGTTAGTGTGTTTAATATGCAGAAGGTGATCAATACACGGATAAGGAAATTACAGTAGGAGAGCCTTACTTAATACACTCTTCTACCTGGAATAAGTTGGTTAATCAAATCATTTCCAAGAGTGCCATTTATAAGTGAGGGAAGATATCCCAGATTGTGGAGTAAGGTGAGATTCTTTCAGAGAGGAATGGAGTATCCTGTGCTCAGTTCAACACTAGGTAAAAGACTCAAAAATTGAAGCTTAGGTGATTTTCTGACATAATATTTATTTACTTAAGATACTTTTTGTTTTAGATAAATGTTTGCAATTTAAAGACTTTTTATCACACTGATTTAGAATTTCAAAAGATGTAAATATTTACAAAAGTATAAAATAATGTTTTTCTTAGATAGATTATAATTACATTTGTTTTACTTTTAAAGAACTAACCTATTTTTCTTCAACTTTTAAAATTTTAATTTAGGAAGAAAATGATATGACAATTTAGAATTGAAAACTTTATTTTGTTAATCTGATATTCATATTAGCTAAAACGGCTAAATGAAACTTCATTCATTGGCTTTACTTCTAACATACTTTTTATTTTTTTATAATGTGTTTGGATAGTTGGTCTATATGGTGTTGAATTTGGACAAAGGAGTGATCTAACATGATAAAATTCCTATTTTTGTCTTTTAGATTGATTCCTAAAATAAGTTACCATTAAGGCAATTTGTGTAAATAAGGAAAATATTCTAAGAAATTCCTTCAAAATTATCTGAATGAGAAAGGACCATCCAATAAAAATGAGTCATTTCTTTTCCCTCATGTCTATCTACATCATTAACATCCATGGTTTTAACAGCAAAACTCTGTCCATTGTTTCTGATAAATTTCTGTTTGTACACTTTACTTTGCTTTTGGTCAGAATGTTCTTATTGGAATACCATGTCTGATTTCTTTTATTCTCATACCTATCGTAGAATCCAAATTTTCTCCTGCAATGTTTTGTAGATATAATTGGAAATAAGTTCTATCTATCCTTACATGTCTATTTTAGTGATATCTATACTTTCTCCATAATGTATGTTTTAGAGGTTGTAAATAATTATCATGATACCCTCAACACAAAGTATATTCTCATATAATGTCATGTCCATCATGAAAATGTAACTGTTTAATGTGTTTGATGATGAAGATACCCAGAAAGGAAAATTTCCCCAGAGATGTCATTAATCTTAATATTAGACCTCCAATTTACTTGCTATACAAACTTAAACAATTTTGTTGTATAAGTTTACTATCTCATTTTATATATACTTGATGTCAAAAACAATTATCTCCTTGTTAATGTCTCTTCATTGCATTTTAATATTCGTATGACTCTTAAATTATGTTTCAGTGCTGTCCAGAGATTCATTATGCTTTTTGAAATTCACCAAATAATCCTCTTCTTTTTAGGCTATGCTGAGCTGAAAATTATTCATATTTTGATCTCTAAATAAAGAGTGAAATGTAGCAAGAACCAGAAGTGGATGGAGAAAATATTTATATTTAACATTTTTAATTTTTTAACTTCATTGTCCCATCTTTAAGAATCCTTATCTCTCTAGATTTCCCACAGCTTTGTATTCATTTCCCCCATCTCATAAAACTACATTTATATATTTCCCTTTGTTCCTATGTCCCTGCATCCCAATATTCACTTTACTTGGTGCATTCTCAGATCTATAAACACAGAAGAAATGCAGAAGTGTCAATATCTATCTGCAGTCACTCATGTTATCATATTATTCCTGTTGATTTGTTATTAGGGTTCAGGGTGAAAGGAATGGAGGATGAAAGTGGAGATCTAAGCAATGGGAATACTAATAGGAACAGTAAATACAATTGTTTCCTATGCTTCATTTTCACCTATTCAGAATTGGATTGCAGCCATGGAAGAAATGCAACAGGAATAGGAATTTCAGCTTGATTTAGTGAATAAAATAGTAATCATGTGCTAGCACTGTATACTAAGAATGGAGAAGTGTATATGTGTGTGTGTGTGTGTGTGTGTGTGTGTGTGTGTGTGTAATGTAAAATGTGGACTGATGTGTTTCAAATAACAGGTAGCATTTTGGGTTTTTAGGCAAATGTGTTTCATTTTATTCAACTAATCTTTGACTGAAAAGGAAAGTAACATGGCATCCAACTCCTGGTAATTCTCAACAAAGAAAAATATTTTTTCTGTCTTTAAACTGTTAATTTACCTCTAATTCATTTACATAAAACAAATGAACAATTACTAACATCATGTAGATTATTTGCCAGTAGAATTGCAAATTTATGTCTTAATTGTCTACTCAGAAAATCTGAAAATGCTAAAATTATTTTTCTTGGTATAACCATCTATAAGACACAAATAAGCATTATATTTCTCTTCAACACTAGTTTTCATGGCCATTGTGCTGAACAGATAAATAACTACTTTTTTTTTCTATTCAGACATGGTAAGGGTCAGAGGACCATAATGAGAAACCACACAAGAGTGACAGTGTTCATCTTGGTGGGTTTGACTGATGACCTACAATTGAAAGGTGTGCTCTTTATCTTCCTGCTTCTCACCTACTTGCTAAGCATCACTGGCAATCTGATCATCATCACACTCACCCTGGTGGATTCCCACCTTAAGAACCTCATGCATTTTTTCATCAGGAATTTTTCCTTCTTAGAAATTTCCTACACTACTACATACATTCCTAAATTGCTAGTTGTTATGGCAACTGGAGACCATACGATTTCCTATAATAATTGTATCACTCAAGTGTTTTTTGCCTTCCTACTTGGAGCATCAGAATTTTACTTACTGGAAGCAATGTCCTATGACCGCTGTGTGGCCATCTGCAAGCCCCTGCATTACACAACCATCATGAGCCACAGAATCTGCACACAGCTCGTTCTCAGCTCTTGGCTTGCTGGCTTTTTGGTCATCTTTCCACCACTGGTAATAGGACTAAATATTGATTTCTGTGCCTCCAACGTTGTTGATCATTTTTACTGTGACACTACTCCCCTCCTGCAGATTTCCTGCACAGACACACAGCTCCTGGAGACAATGGGATTTGCCTCAGCTTTGGTGACACTGTTGGTCACACTAATGTTGGTGATAATGTCCTACACTTTTATTACTGTGACAATTTTTAAAATCCCTTCAACTAGTCAGAGGAAAAAGGCTTTTTCCACATGTTCTTCTCATATGATCGTGCTATCCCTGTCATATGGCAGCTGCATCTACATGTATGTTAAACCATCAGTCAAACAAAGGATTTCTTTTTCCAAGGGAATTTCAGTGCTGAACACTTCAGTTGCTCCACTTTTGAATCCTTTTATCTATACCTTACAGAATGAGCAAGTGAAGAAAGCCTTCATTAATACAATACACAGGATTGATCATTCTCAAAAAAATGAATTGAATATTCTATTTTATTGTATAAAGGAAGTAAATAAAAGACTCAAGTAAAACCAACAGCTTGTAAGACACAGGTTCTTCCTTTTTTTTTTCTTTTCAGTGCTTTTGATTCATCTTTATGCTTTTTCAAACTATTTTTTCACAAATATGTTTGGTCTAAAGTAGTTAATTTCTACTTTATTCTCCATTACAGGTATTCTATTTTATCTTTCTTCTTCTTACTTTATTTTTCTGTGGATATCTTTTGAAAACTGAGTAAGTTTCAAAACTTTGTCTTTTAAGAATTCTACATAGGACTGGAGGTGTGGCTTAGTGGTAGAGTGTTTGCATAGCATGCATGAGACTCTAAGTTTAATCCTCAGTATGGGGGGAAATTCCAGTCAATCATGACTATAAAATATTGTTTCATTCATAATTACATTGAATGTATTATACAGTGCAAAGGTTATTTGCTGCTCTATATTTATGATTGATTATAACCCTTGAAATTAATATTCTTTATATTTTGGTCATATTATCAATTTTCTATTTAAAGAATTAAAAGAAATCATAGTGGCATTTAGACATCACAAGTGATGTTCATCTTTCATGTTATGTATTAAAATTATATATACATATTTATAGAGTTATAATTTAAAGCATGTTCCATGGAAACATTATTTATTTTCTTTCTGAAATGAATTACATTTGCAAGCCATTTAATCATGGTTTAAAGAAAATGTGTTAATCTTACTGACTTATTTTGAGAATTAATAGTTAAATACAATACTTAACTGTTGCTCTCAAACCTCAAACTTCCTTTTTTTGCTTGGGATATTCTTAAATCTAGCTAGAAATGAAATGAATTGTTACTACACAAGAGTAATGTCAACTTAATGTATTTATTATTTCCAAAAGTTGTTTCTCAAGTGTATATATAAAATATATTTGTAAAATGTGTGCATATGGAGATTGTCATAGAGGTAGATGTATATCTATATAGCTATTCCTCCTGCTACTGAAACCAAGATAACTAAAGAATCAATCCTTATCTTAAGGCTGTTTTCCAGCTGTAGGTCAGATTCTGCTAGGAGTTTTAAAATTATTTCCTTGTGACTACCAGAATTGTTAAAAACTTAAATATAAATGACAATATTTCATGAATACTCATATTTCATAAAATTTCACAAAGCTGTGCTTATCTTGGCCATAATTTTTAATTTCATTTTATAAAATATACAAATCTTCACTGAAGGAAAATAAGTTTGGAATGTGGTGCCAAAAGGGACAGAATAATTATTCCCAGGGAGAACTACACATAGTGTATATAATGGGAAAATCGTATAGGTTTCTGTAGAACTATAGGATGTATTTCATATCAGAAATTATTTGGGTAAGTTGTTATTTAGGTATATGTTATTTTCCATTTTATTAAGTACACTTAATGATTCTAAAGCACTTTCTTAAATTTAGAAATATTAAGCATGCAGAAAATACAAATATACATATATGTAATATTGTGAGACAATTTAATAAAAATAAAACCTAAGGGTCTTTGAATAGATAAAATAGTCTTAATTCTTTATGTATCAGTGAGGATCAGTTTGGTGAAAATGTACTGTCCAAGTTAAACCACTTGGCTAAGCTATCACTGAGTTATGCTGAAAAATTTTATATATTAATGAGCTTGTCCTCAGCACTCTAAGTCATCATTTCAAATATCAGTTTTCTTAAGAACTTTATTTGTTATTCCAAGGCAGAGCTAATTATTCAAATCCCTGTGTTACTTCATACATATCAGTTTATATTTTCAGTAACTCAATAGCATCTCTACTAGAAAATTTTTTCCAATTTACAGGTTGATTAACTCACAAAATTAGCTCTTTTGAATGAGCTTTTTCCTAAACAAAATCTAATGTTTTTGGAAAAAGACATTTTTGTTTGGATAATATAGCTATACTGGGAGTTTTCTTATGACATTCCTATTTATAGATAATATCTCAAATTGGTTCATGTTCTTTATTTTTCTCCTCTCTACTTAGTCCCTTTTTGTGGTGATTTCAACACATTTTAAAATTCTATGTTAGTTACTGTATAGAAAGTACATCAACCATATTCAACTTCTTAACTTCTTCTTTACCTGCCTTCTTTCATTAGTGAAATCTGCTTCATGGTATTGCTTAAATTTGCACTGGGCCAATATTCCACATATTAGAGCAAACATGCAGTTTTGGCTTTCTGAACCTGGTTAACTTCACTTAAGATGATGTTCTCCAGTTCCATCATTTGGCAAACAACAAAATTGCATTGTTCTTTATGGCTGAATAAAATTCCATTGTATATAAATATTACATTTTCTTAATCTATTCATTAGTTGTGGCCATCTTGACTGTCTCCATAGCTTAGCGATTGTGACTAATCTTGCAAAAAACATGAATAGGCAGTTGTTATTGTAACCTGTTTTATAGTTCCTTCAAGTATCCCTAGGATTGTTACTTATGGATCATAGGCAGCTCATTTTTAGTTTTTTGAGGAGCATCTGTACTGTTTTCCATCGTGGTTGTACTAATTTATATCCCCATCAACAGTGTATGAGGGTTCCTTTTTATGTGCATCCTCGACAATATTTGTTGTTTGTATTCCTCAAGATAGCCATTCTAAGGAGCGATGTGGAATCTTAACATGGTTTTGATTTGCATTTTCTTTATGGCCAGTGAAGTTGAGCATTTCTTCATGTGTTCTTTGGCCATTGAACTTCTTCTTTGAAAAACCTCTGTTCATTTCATTTACCCATTTCTTCTCTGGACACTGATATTTTGGGAGTTTAGTTTTTTGATCTCCCTGTATATTCTGGTTATTAATCCCTTGTTGTTGAATAACTGGCAAAGGTTTTGTTTTTGCATTCTGTGGGCTACCTATTAAATATGGTGACCATTTCTTTTGCTATGCAGAATGTTTTTAGTTTCATGTAGTCCCATTTGTCAATCTTTTTCTAAGTTGCTGAGCCATTGGAGTTCTATTTAGGAAATTATTGCTTATGCCTATTAGTTCCAATGTATTCCCTGCTCTTTCCTGCACTACCTTCAAAGTTTCAAAGGTCTTACATTAAGACCTTAAGTGGTCCTTAACTTTGAGTTGATACTTGTACAGGTTAAAAGACGTGGACCTCTAGTTTCAGTTTTCTGCAAGCAGATATCCAGTTTTCCCAGCAACATTCCTTGAAGAGACTCTTTTCACCATTGTATGCTTTTGGAAACTTTGTCAAAAATCAGGTTGCCATAACTGCATAGATTCCTATCTGGGTTTTCTATTCTGTTCCACTGGTCTTCATATATGTTTTTGTGCCAGTACAATGCTGATTTTATTTCTATGTCTCTGTAGTATAGTTTCAAGTCACGTATTGTTTATTTTTAATTCATTTATTCACATGTGCATACATTGTTTGGGTCATTTCTCCCCCCTGCTTCCACTCTCACCTTCTCCCTGCCACCCACCTTGCTTTCAGGCAGAACCTCTTCTGCCCTTATCTCTAATTTTGTTGAAGAGAAGACATAAGCATAATAAGAAAGACAAAGCGATTTTGCTGCTTGAGTTAAGGGTTGCTATACAGAGAGATTCCTAGCATTGCTTCCATGTACAAATGTGTTACAACCCAAATTGATTCATCTCTAACTGATCTTTACAAAGGTTTCCTGATCACCTTCTTGTGTTGACCTCTGTCACTTTAAGGTTTCTGTATTAGTTCCTCTGGAGTGGGGACATCAAATGCTTTCATGTTTTGGGTTTTCTACCTAACCCCATACCTCCAGTATGTGCTCTCCCCTTGTCATGCGACCCAATTCCTACAACATTGCTGTATTTGCCCTAGACCTAAAGTCCACATATGAAGGAGAACATATGATTTTTGGTCTTCTGAGTCTGGCTAACCTCACTCAGAATGATGTTCTCCAGTTCCATCCATTTACTTGCAAATGATAAGATTTCACTCTTCTTCATGACTGAGTAAAATTCCACTGTGTATAAATACCACATTTTCTTGATCCATTCATCACTAGTGGGGTATCTTGGTTGTTTCCATAATTTGGCTATTGTAAATAGTGCTGCAATAAACATGGGTGTACAGGTGCCTTTGGAGTAGCCTGTGTTGCTTTCCTTTGTGTATATCCCCAGGAGTGGGATTGCTGGATCATATGGCAGATCTATGTTCACATTTTGAAGAAGCCTCCAAATTTTTTTTACAGAGTGGTTGCACTAGCTTGCATTCCCACCAGCAGTGTATGAGGGTTCCTTTTTCCCTTCATCCTCTCCAACACCTGCTGGTGGTGGTGTTTTTGATGATGGCTATTCTAATGGGGGTGAAGTGGAATCTTAGTGTGGTTTTGATTTGCATTTCCTTTATGGCTAGAGATGGTAAGCATTTTTTCATGTGTTTTTTGGCCATTGAATTTCTTCTTTTGAGAACATTCTGTTTAGTTCAGCTGCTCATTTCTTTATTGGTTCATTGATTTTGAGAGAGTTTAGTTTCCTAAGTTCCCTGTATATTCTGGTTATCAGTCCTTTGTCTCATGTATAGCTGGCAAATGTTTTCTCCCACTCTGTGGGTGGTCTCTTCAGTTTAGACATCATTTCTTTTGTTCTTTCTCTTAGTTGCTGGGATGATAGGGTTCTATTGAGGAAGTCCTTGCCTATACCTATTACTTTCAGAGTGTTTCCTGCTACTTCCTGTACTAATTTCAGAGTTTTGGGTCTGATATTAAAGTCTGATCTATTTTGAGTTGATACTAGTGCAGGGTGATAAACATGGATCTAGTTTCAGTTGCTAGCAGATGGATAACCACTTTTCCCAGCAACATTTGTTGAAAAGGCTGTCTTTTCTCCATCATATATTTTTGGCACCATTGTCAAAAATAAGGTGGGTATAGTTGTCTGGATTCATATCTGGGTCCTCTATTCTATTCCACTGATCTTCATGTCTGTTTTTGTACCAGTACCATGCTGTTTTTATTGCTATTGCTTTGCAATATAGTTTGAAGTTAAGTATTGTGATACCTCCAGCATTGCTCTTTTTGCTG